TGGATGAGTTTTAACTGTTCAGTTGTGGTACTGATTTTAAAAAATATTGTCAGTCTTTGAGGGATAAAAATTTATTTATTTTTATTTTTTTCCCAATATCCCAATTAATTATGCAATCACTTCCAGGCAAACGGTCAATTTATTTCAAAGTACAGCATGCTGTCCCTAGAGGTACAGTTGTTAAGAAGGGGAAAAATGGGTGTGACAATTGTTCGGTAAATGTATTTTTGTATTTATAAATTGGAAATGACGTCAAGGTATCCAGCGCGCCTGCTTAGTTGCTTTTTCTTACAAGGACAACATAAAGCAGCAGCTGTAACACGTGCGGACGTCACAGGGGGGAGAGCGCAGGTTCACATGTCCTCAGTTGACTGTCAACAAAAAAAAGACAAAAAAAACAACAACATCCAAACTAGATCTGGTAATCTCTCATAACAGGCAACGTTTAATAAACTCAAGACATTTCCAGCGAAGACTAGAAGCTCTCCACCTTCAAAACACTTGACACAAAGGAGCAACACTGCAGCTGTGGCAACCCCCCCCACTTGCATTAAAAATCAGAGCATCATTCCGCCTTTGGAATGGAACAGATGTGTCCGTTTGCTAGACAAAGAATCTGGAATTTGAACAACTGCAAAACCAGATGCATGGTAGATTAAAAAGAGGAGAGTTCTGGCTATTACTCAGATTACCATAGCGTTTTTGGCCAGTGGAATGTAATCTGACAAACATCCAGGCTGGTCATGGTGAACCCCCTTTGGTCCCTCCATCTGTCCTCTGCATTGGACAGTCCCTGGGCCACAGTCACGTTCTGGTATGTGACAATATGTTCCTTCATATTTAAGTGATAGCTGGGTGACTTGCAAATATAAAATGTTTAATAAAGGCAATGTTAAATCATGCGTAAAAGGTGTCAAAATGAAAAATCACAGCGATCCTATTTTGTTTACCTCAGTGTCCAACACAATATGAAAAAATATCGATATAAATAAGATTTTTTAATTTGGATTTAGGTGCCATTAAATCGGTGTGATTGCGTAATAAGTCACTAAAGCTAATTTAACTGTAATTATTTAAGCTTGATTATCATGCGTAAAAATATGAACCGTCCAAGCGTATTGGCATCATCCCACTTAACATGCAGACAAAGTATGTGGTCTCTGATCATTTATTTTATGTTTTTAGGAATTAGTCCTGTTTTTGTCTAGCGTGTTTTTATGACATACCAGCTCCTTCGTCTGGCTCCAGGCCCGTGTCGGTGTCCAGTCCACACACAACAAAATAGTGGGCGAAACGGCACGACCCAGATCCCGCGGTGGTCGCTGCGGTTCCGTTCATCCTGGTAGGACAAAAGCGAGATTGTAAGATCCGTAAGGGACTAAAAACACCGCTTGTTCATCGCTGTCAGGGCCCAGTTTGGCGGGGCTGTGCTCGGCGACTCTCTCCGGTCGGTGACTGAGCTCAGGATGTAGCGGTGCTGGCCATCTCGTTCAGCGCGAAGGGGAGGAGGCTCCGTGGGCGACAGAGAGGGAGGGAGAGGGAGACAAAGCGCTACCATCAGAACTCAACATGAGCAACACTCATTCGGGCCTTCTCTCACCGGAAACATGCTTACATTTGGCTTGTTATAAAAGAGAAAATCCAGTGAATTAATGTAATTTTAAACAAACAAATAAAAAGCTTGAATAAAAATAAAGAGGCACATGTTGTGGAGTGAAAGTTAAAAGTAAGTTTAACTGTTTCATATGTATAAATAATTCTAATATTCACATTTATTGAAGTGTTGAATACCTTACATTTCTAAAAACATGTTTACTGCAGTATGTTTTTAGCACACCAGTGTAGATATGTCTGTTACTGTAGGTCTGCTCATCCATGAGACCAAGTAGATGCAAGTGAATGTAACTACTTAATATCAAGGTTTCTAACTAAGATATAAAATAATGTTTGACAGACTTGGAAAAAATATTGTCAGTTTTATTTAAAACCATATATTCATATTTTTATAAGCAAATACTTCTCTAAAATATCAAACAAAAAATAAATATTGCCCAGCTGTAATGCCTGAGAAGGACAGCTTTTACATTCACATTGCAACACCAAAAAACATTTGTCTGACAAAAATCCATTCTGAGCTATTTCCTCAAACACATGACACAGGAGAATAAACGGGTAATTGAAATTTAACAGCTTGACCACATCTTCGATCTTACCTAAATTTCTGGTAAATCTTGTACAGTACACATACTGGCTATGTACTTTTTCTGTTAAAAATAAATGTATTCTTATTAAAAATTAAAGTACTTTATCCATACATCAAGATGCGTGTAGTACATTCTCAGTATGATCAGCAAACAAAAATACAGAGGGATGGTCAGTTGCATCATGGCTTACAAATTATAGTAATCCAGTACAAAATGGCAGTGTGCTTGGCCTTTAGGTAAACATGAGGTCTTTTAGACGACAGGTCAACATATATGTGTACTGTGTAAAAACATATGAGTTTAATTATGCTTCAATCCATCCAAATATGATGTACAATAAAATATTTAAGAACATTTTTACAGAAGGTTTGAGTATTGAAGAAATGCTACTTTTTTCTGTCCCCTGAAAGCAATAGTGCAATAATGGTTTTACTATGAGTTATTACAAATGGCATTAATGCATATAAATGCTCTGAATTAAACAAAGCAAAAAACTATGGTCAACTAGTGAATTCATCAACTAACTGAATTTTGTTAATCATGCCACTCTACCAAAAAAGATACCTTTTGATTTGTTGTAAGATAAAAGGATTTCACCAGTATATGATAATGTCATACTGCCATGTCCATGTCGTTACATCCCTAATATAGCCAATATAAATAGACCACATGATTAACTCGGTAAGTGACGAACGGAGAGGGTCTGTCTGTGGTGGCTTTGGCAAATACTTAGCACAAGTAGTTCCTGGATTCAAACAACTTCAAATGGCTGAGGCAGAAGTTTATGTTAAGATTCGAGCTGCTTGGACCCTGACCTCCTCCTCAGGGTGTGACAAAAGAGGAAGCACTCTGCTATGGAGCTGGGACGACTCATCTAACATGAGCCGGAACAGAGAGTCCTGCTTCTGCCTTAACTCAGCAGCCACCTGGGCCGAAGGCCGCCAAGCTTTAAGGTTCCCTGCAAACGTGAGGAGACGCACTAGCACTGCTGGAACTGTCCTGGGGTCAAACAGAAGCAACACAGAGGCTGGAGCCTGAAACAACAAGTACACACACATGAGGCTCTTTTACACTAAAAATGCCAAGTATTTTTAACACTGACAATATTTTTACCTGGACCTGAACAATGTCATCCATCATATCTGGATTAGAAGACAAATTTACTAGAACTTTCAAGGTCTGAACCTGGAAAAAGGGTTTTAAAAAGTATTTAACTTTTAATTTAATTTAAAATCACCTTAAGGCTACATCACTTACCTGTAACGTCTCATTGCTCACAACAAACAGCGACAGTAAAAGTTTGATAGAATCCTTTAACAAGTGCTGGTGCTTGTCAGTGACTGAGAGATTTGTCAACAATCTGAGTGCACACAGCTGAAGTTCAGAATTCACTGGTGATGTTTCAATAAGCTCCAAAACTTTAGGGACATACACCTGAGAACAAGACAGTTACTACACAAGCCAATTTAGACAATGAAAATCATAATATCTTTATAAAGAAGGAATACCGTTAGTTGCTCCTGGTTTTGAATGTTCATACTGAGATTATTTAAAGCAATTAATGACTGCACTCGCACGTCTGCAGCAGGATCAGAAAGAAAACCAGCTATAATTGGAATCCCCTCATATTCACAGATGAGATTCTGGAAAATAATTATATTGCTAAAGCAAAAACAGAACACAAAACCAGAAAATGCCACAAAAAATATGCCACCCAGACCAATTTATAGATTTTTAATTCCATCATACCTGATTTACAGTGAAGGCAGAAGCATTCCCTAAAGTAAGTAGTATCCGGCATTTGTCATCTTGATTGTTGCTGGACTGTAAGCATGACAGCAGCATCTTTAGGTGCTTCGGCTCCAAGTGGCCAGCTAAAAATATTGATGCAAGGACAAATGCACACAATTCAGATGCAGAATTAAAAACAAGGTAGCCATCAATAGAAGCTGCAAATAACAGAAGACAATCATCAGTGATGCTTACCTGATGCAACATCCACAGTCTTGGAAGTAACAGGTCGGGCACAAACCACATCCAGTCCCGACACTTTTGCCAGCAAGCTCCCAGGCTGAAGGCTCACTGTACTCACATTAGAGCTGTCACTTCGAGTGCCTTTCCTGCTTTTCCTAAAGCTACCGCTGCTAATCAGTTTGTAAAGACCATAAGAAGCGCCTGCCCCAGCTACTATCCCAAGTAACGCCTTCATGTTGCCAAATCTGGGAGTAATGCTATCCCCCATGCTGCTATGCTAGCGTTAGCTACCGGGCTAAAAGTCTCCGCTCATCTGCGCCAAGAGACCTCCTTGTGGGCTATTATCTGCAGTTTGTTAAGCGATACCATGGAAAACACGGCTATAAACACGACTCATTTGGAGAGCTTTGTTGCTCTACCAGATCCCAGACAAGTTAGCTGACACCAGAGCGCAAGTGCGTTTTTCCGGTCAGCTGATCAGTCTGTGGCGGGCCAAGAAACAACCCCGCGTGTTTTCATTGGAGATGAATAATGTAGAAACTACGTTTTTCACGTTATTATTTGCGATTGCAAATAATACGCTTACATAAATAAATAGTAGTTTGCCACAAAATTATTAAAACCATGGTCAGGATCACCCCCCCATTGACAGTATCCCCTGTGGTGTGTGGTCCAACCACGGCCCACAATGGATGTAACCTATCAACGTCCAGTCAAATATTAAACATACCAACGCTAATGGAGAAGACGGATGCAGTTGTAGAAAAACTGCTATATTAGTGCATACATTCTAATTAAAAACAGGAACCATCCACCATCAGCAGAGGAGTCAGCTGGATGCGCCGAGTTTTACGGACGGACGCTTGGTGGCTCACTTTCACAACTTTTCTTTGACCTTCACTAGGAAATGTTGATGGTGCAGGCAAACCTCTGTGGGTTCGTAAGTTGCTCGCAGAAGACTAAAAGTCCAGATTTACCCAACGTTTGACCTAAAATAGCCTACATTTTTAAAACACTTTCAAGACAAAATAAGACATAGCTAGGCAAACCTTAATGCATGTAGGCAACAATGAAATCTGCTTATTTTCCACACATTGTTCATGTTAAATTTAAATTTTAAGTGTTGTTGAAATATTACTGCCTTTGATCTGAGGATTTTTTAACGAATGACACACCTAGATTAAATAACCATAATTTAATGGCCTATTTGTCTTCCATCAGCTTCTTTGCTCTACCCGAAGCAGGGTTTGTTCGCATGTGAAAATACCATACGGAAACCACTTCTGTTTTATCATATTTTGGGTTGTGGCTGTGTGTGGCTTTTCAGGCTGATGGGAGTCCTGAGAAAGACACGGCTCTTCTCTTACGTAAAAGTTCAGCCGTGAAAGAGGTGGCTTTGTGGTCATGTGGTGAGTTAGTCTACTGTTTATGCTAGTTATTTACTTTTTACACTACTGCAAAAGGAGTAGGTAACTTGTGTATATTGTTTGCTGTTACACTAATTATGCAAATCAGATTCCAATAAAACAAATAGGCTACATTGTTTATGTTCTCCTACCTCTGGCTTGGCATATCTGTAGTAATGACATGATGACTTGTTGGCTTTTCCACTGGAACAGATGCAGCAGTAATGCCTTTATAAAGGCAGGATTCAGAGGATTGGGGACTTGGGTGGTTGATGTGAATGGGAAAGTTTGGAGAACTGTTTTCACTTGACATTTGGATGTTGGCACTTGTTCATGGTTGACCCTGTTCCAACTGTACTGTACAATTTTTCCATATGTCATTTTGTTTCATCCTAAAGTAAATAGTGTACCATTGTAAAATTATTTTAGTGCACTTTGCAAAATTTGCATAAAATCAGATTGCATCTTTGGAATTTGAAGACAGATTAATTTAATTATTCTGTTTTAGCTGCAGGTGTTCATATAATACCTAGGGGGGTGGTATTTTTTCCATGTGATACATTGATGAAGAGGAGGAGCCAGTGAAAATGTCATGCTCCACATGTGTAGGTTTAGTTTATGTTGTCATACTTCATGGCGGTTTCTTCTTTACTATGTCAAGACCAAGGCTGGTATTTAAAGATGCTACAGATTGAGGCCAATCTAAACCATATGCAGAGTGACCTAAATAGGATACATATAGAGAATAGGGGTGTGCTGAAATAGTGATATATAATACTTAATCTGTTGTGTATATCAATATCACAGGTTGCTGCATGCATTTAACTGCTTAGAGAAAAGGAACATATTTGTTTAATGCAGGTAGAGGCATATTCACTGTTTTGATTATTAAATTAAGTGTATTTCATAAAAGCAATGTGTGTGTAGTGGTTTAACAACAAAATGCAGTCATGTATTTTATAACAAAGAGTATCATACGCTATATATATAAATTATTGCATGTTTTGTTATTGTGCTATTGGTGAATTGTGAGCCGTGTATTGTATTGTATTAAATTGTGAGAGAGCATGTTTCCTAGCCCTATATGCAAAGAGGTATGAATAGACAGACTGAGGATTGTGAGGAAAGGGTAAATCAAATTTTACTGAATGTCTCATAACTTAAATGGACACACATTCTCAAAGTACTCCCCTTTAATATTTAAATGCCAACTGATGGAAGTTTCCAGTAGTCATAGTTCCAGACTAATTTTAGGCCTAAACTTTGTGCAAGATTATATAAAAAATATAAGAACATGTAATAAAAACTGTGGGTGAATTTTTTTTTTTTTATAATTTATTTTTTTTTTTATAATTACCATGTTGTTTAAATCATATCCATCATAAAAATGTCATCAAATGAGCAACATGGTCATTCTGTTTATAACATTTGGAACATTTCAGTCTAAGCCCAGAAGATTGTGAACAGCTGCTGTTTTGGAAATCAGACACACACAGGTGGTGGATTCAGTCAGCTCTGTGCATGATGATGACTAAAATAGCTTTTCCATTCACATCTTTTAACAACAATGCAAAACATCTGCTTTTATTTAATGTTGAATATCTGCTCTCTAAAACCTTGAATTTAAAGGTTCCCTATGTAACCTGGAGTTCATTAAAGAAAATCTTGGTCAGCTAAAGACATGTCCTGTATCGATTAATCGACGTAAAAGGGTGTGTGGCAAAAGCTCTCAAAACTACTACATATCTGGATGCATTAGGGCTGCTTGATTATGGAAAGAATCATTATCACGATTATTTTGGTCAATATAGAACTCATGATTATTGAAATGATTCTTTTTTAATTACACAATACAAAAAAAGTAGTTACAAAAAAAAGTTAGTTACAAACCAAAACTATGCTATTCATAATTTACGCAATGCTTTCAAATTGAAAATAAATATAGGCTACAAACCTTAGAGCAGTTTTGTGATGCATAAAATATAAAAGGAATCAAATATATTTTGAACATGAAGTAAGGCATAGAAAAACATAAATGTATCCAAAATAAACTACATATCCAACTGTTCTACAATCTCTATTTAAAAAAAAGAGAATAAATATATTTATTTATATTCAAAAAAATCCCCAAATAAACTTTATTAAACTTGTTTAAATGCAAATACCCTCATATAATTGTTTCAACTCAATTATATGAGTATGGAGATTGTTTGACACACAAATCAAAATCGCGATTAAAATTCAACTATTTGCACAGCCTTAGTGTGTATCCAATCCTGCATGAGAGTTTATGCAAAACTATTTATGCAGAAAAAAGTACTATGAAACAATTAACTTACAATGTAAATATACTTATATATAAATACAAATTAAACTTGTAAATTATGATCTTTAATCTGCCTTTTTTTCGTAGAAATCCCCAAAATACCAACTCTTCAGCTAACTCATTCTCTGTTGTTGACCCACATAAATCCTTATAATCTTAATAAAATTACTAGTTGATTAAAGCACTATAGCTATAATTGTTTTATGTAGAATGTTCCACAGCATGGCATTAAACTTATTAATACAATGGAGGCAAGCAGAATTTGCTACCAGGTTATATCTGTGGAGAGGTGACAGTTCACGTTCACAGCAAGAATGCATGCTAGATAGATTTTTTGCCCTATTGTGAAACATTCTAGGCAAAGGAATATCATATCCATGGTGACAAGCCTGTAACAAATACTCCATAAGAAAAGTTGCATAGTGCTGCTTTAACTCTTTGTAGTGTACATGAAATGGGAGCCTTGTCAATGAAAGTCCAGCATGTTTCTCCGTGTCAGTCTTCCTAAGTGCGTGTGCTTAAAGGTTATCCTACCTCCTGTATCAAATTCCACCTCTTTTGTCACTGCAGACTCCTGTGTCACTGGCTCATCCAAGGTCTCCACACACAACCCCATGCAACCAACAAGACAGCATTTCATATTTTCCACTGTTATAGAATAGACGTGAAGTGCTTATTTAATTTTTCATTGAATTAATTATAAGAGGTGTGTGTTGCAGGGTTGACAGTGCAGGATAGCTTACAATGACCAACAAAGAGAAGAATGTTCCTGCTGGAATTTTCAAATGGTGTACATGGGTGACATTGCTGAAAAGGAAGCAGCTTGGTAAGTACTAGAATTTCTATTACACTTTGTACTTAGATATGGAATATCCAAACAAAACACACTTGTTTTCAAGTATTTCCAAGGAAGCTTGAGCCTACAGGGGTGCATTGCAACCTCAGTTTAAAATGTTTGCATTTCAGATACCTAAAGTAATGCCACTTAATGGAATCATAGTATGTTTTCACCCCTTTTAAACTTCAAATGAACCCTAAGTCAGGCCTACACCCATGCCTGTTTCCAAGTCATTACTCTCAGTAGTTGTCTTGTTTATGCTCTCTGGTATGACTCATCTTGTCACATGTGATCTTCCTAAAGGTCAAGGTCAAATGCATTAAAAAAATCTATCAAAAAATAATATACAGTAGCTTTAGGACCTAATAACTCCTACAGTGTTCAATCGGTGGACACATGTTTACTATCGGGCAAGAAAACTTTTTGTAAATGTGGCTTTATTCTTGGAGCTAAGATCTGCCTTGTCAAAGATGGTCAAAATTCCACCATTATGTTGTAGCTCAAGGTGTGAATGCTTAAACATTATATTGCCATTATGATAGGGTATAACCAAGCCATTTATAACCCAAAAATATGCCATAATAGTGCTGAAACATGAATAGCAATCAAATCAAAATTGTAATTTGAATGGATGTAATTAGCAAATCGCAAAGGTTGCAGGTTTTTGAGTATCATAATTATCTCCACAAACAACAAGATATGTTTAATTCTGCATAACTGCATTCTGCTGACTTTATGTTTAGAATTGTACATGTTCAGAAATACATGGGATTCTTGGATTAGTGTTAGTTAATTCGCTTATTTCACACTTTCTCTTAATTCTATTTGACTCATGTAAAATTTGAACTTTGAACAGAATCTTCTTATTATAAATTGTTAATATAATTGCAATGCTTGTCAGAAAAATAGCAATTAGATGTTTTTCCCAAATCGTGTATTGCCATACACAGTATACTTAGTGCCTAGGGCCAGATTCTTACTGCATTTAAATTACTTGCTTATGTTTGGCTTTAACCAAAGATTCTTTCTTAATAATGCACAGACTAAACAGTCATGTGGAAAGTACCATTTTTTTCTTGTTTTGTTTTTTAGTTCAACATTCAGAAGACACTTGGTGAAATGAGCAGTAAACTTCGATGTGATAAAGATGTTTTCTCTAAGCTGCCCAGCTGTCTCTCGCTAAAGGTACATCTTCTTCATTACACAATAGTTTGGCTCTGAGGTTTTTTATTTTCCATACTGAGAATGAGGGAGTTCCACTTCCCAATCCCTGTGCTGTCTGGGTGAGATCATAACTATTGCATAACACAAAAAAAAACTTTGTTGTAAACATCCTCCCACGAGCTTTGACACTGCTGTACTCATTAAAATCATTTATTATTGGGTGTTTGTGTTGAAATTACTACACATTGTGATTTTTTTTTTTTATGGCTTTTTGTGGTTTGAACACAACAGAAAGTTTAAACAAGTTTATACTAGTTGACCCCCAGTTTGAGTTTCAGGTCCGCTACTACAACATTGCATTAGTTGTTATGTTATGATAAGCAACTTATAAATAAAGCCACTGCATGACTATGTTTGGACAAAGGCAAGGAATGCGAATGCACTGGGATCAGACATCACATAACACTGGTACTGAAAACCCTGCCTTAATAAGTCTTGAGTAATAAATGTAACTATAATATTTAAAATTTGTTTGAAATTGAAAAAAATAGCCCCATAAAACTGATTTATTAAAGACAAATTCTTTCTTTAATCCTGGTAGGTAATTTCAGCTCTTTGCTGAGTATTAAACTAAATGTCCTTCTCTGCCCTATTAAGTGCCTTTCTCTTGATCTGTTCTCAAATGTTCTTAGGGAAACTAAACCTGCAATACCTAATCTTATTAAAACACATTTTCAACTGTAACTTAACTCACTTTTCTAGGAGCTGCTGATTCCTCCTAAAATGTTAATGTGCACACACTAGACTTCTGAAAGACAAATGTTGGTCTCAGAATGGCTGCATGGTTATTTTGGTAGTACCAACCTGAAAAGTTTTGGAACATTTTATTTAATGTTTCAAACTTATTTCTCAAAATATAAGTTGACAACATTAGAATGAAGTTTCTGATCCATATCATAATTTGCATTTAATGACCATTTTCTAGATTTTTAGATTTTTACGCATACGAGACTGGTTGAATTGTGCCGAGGTGTGCAACTCATGGAGAGATCTAATTCAGTCAAGTGCACTGTGGAGTCAGGTTAGTAACTCCATCATTAGTCAGTACTATTTCAAGTATCTAGAGATGGGTTTGGCATTCTCTGTAGCATTTCATTTATGGCAACAATAAAGTAAGGTCATAGTGTACAGTGTTTGAGTGTTTTAGTAAATGGGCATTTATATTTGGTCGTGTTAGATCAATTTCTCCAGTGAGAAGGAGTGGATCACAAACGCTGAGGTGAAGCAGATTTTGCAGATGTATCGTCCTTTGGTAGTTCACCTAAACCTGCGAGGCTGCACCTTCCTCACCTGGCCCAGCATCAAGTGTGTCAGTGAGTATCCAGCTTTGTGATCAGAAACAGACAAGCATATTCTGGGTTGTATTTTATCTTTTTTATCAATGAAAATATACAAATTCCATCTGATACAGACATATATACAGTGATGTAAAAAACAAAAGAGGCAGGGGAAGCCTTGAGATTCTAGGTCACTCTGCAGTGATCAGGACAGTCGAAAGATCTCATATTTCTGTGGCACTCTCAGATGACTGGGCTCCAGCTCCTCCTCCAGCTCTGCCTGCAGCTCCAGAGGTGTGTTCCACAGCTCGGGGTCAGTCTGATCTGCGTTGGGACGGTTGTACGGCCGCTCTTTAGGACATCCTCTATTGTAATTGTTAACATACTCCTCCACTCTCTCCCCGCTGTACTCAGGAGGGGAGCGGCACAGCAGCCCCGAGTACTGAACTGCTGGGTGCAGACGAAGCCAGTAGACCATGTAGTGGATGCTGTGGGGAGAGCACAGAATGCAGAAGTTATGTTTATATTTGTTAGAGGATACAGAGCTTAATGTTATTGCCATCAGCCCTAAATAACTAACATGGAATTTTATTCAGTCACCCAGTCATCATTGTTCTGAAAAATAGGTGATTGAGCATCTTGATAATGACATGTGGAGCCAATAAAGTGGTTTAAATATTTTTTTTCCAGAAATAGGATCCCCAGCCATCTGAAAATTAATACATCCTCAATTTATTACATTTATTTCGATATTTTTTGTCCTATCAATTGTGTATCGACTCACAGACAAACTGTCTGTTTACAAGACTCTCATAGAACTCTGACAGAACATAAAAATAAGTACCATTCTTAGTGAAGATGACCTACCTATAGTCACACACCCAGGGGTTTCCTCCGAGCTTCAGCTGTGACAGAAAATACAAGTCTTCCAGAACCCCATACTGGACAAATTGTAGAAGGTTGTTGGAAAGATCCAGCTCACGTAAGTGCAGCAACCCAGTCAGGGAAGCTGGGAGGCACAGACAAAAACATATTAACTCATTGCAACAATTACTTTTCACATATTTATAATGCTGTAAGTTGCCTTGTAAAGTTTAGTAACCCCATGTGCCTCAAATTATATTCACTCATTACCAAGTAATTTATCAACTTGCTCCCTGTATAAATACATATAATATTGTATATACAGAGAATGGCAAAATGTCTGCTGTGTCAAGGAAAAATTGGAAACAGAAGTTACGGTTGCGTAACATGTTTTAAACGATTTGGTTGTCCACCTGTTATCCATCAGAAAAGGCAAACAACTATGCGTGTTCAGTTCCCTCTCTAAGGACGTGTTACAGTAAAACATGACTCATACATTACTGAAATAGTACAAGTACCTGTGTCAAGATGCTCCATGTTGTTGCTGCTGAGGTTCAGGATTTTGAGGTTCTTTGCGCTCTGGAATTCTTTGGCTTTGAGGTGACGGATGGCATTGTGAGAAAGATCCAAGTGAACCACATCATCTGGGATACCCGTGGGCACTTCTTTTAGGCCTAAACAAGACCAAAATCTTTAGTCAGATGCATTTCAAATAGATGTATCAAAATAGTGAAATGGCTAATGGATAAGATAATAACTGAACTAGACATGGTTTGAACCTGCTTGTAGTGAAGGTGCCAGGCTCTTTACCTTTGTTTCTGCAGTCCATGCGCACCTGGGGGAAGAGGTACGTGTGGCACACTTGTGTGGCATCTGGTTTAAGGCGGATGCCGCTGGGCTCCAAAGGAGAGGCGGAGGGTCGAGTGCCTTCATCATTAGGGGGCAGCTCTTTGCACAGCTGCTCCGCCTCCAAGTGCTTCAACTTTCTGCCTTTGAGCCAAACGGGTTCTTCACACCTGGTCAAAATTATAACAGTGATATTATAAAACCAGTAAAAAGCCAAAATCTGTTTTAGAATGATTAATAGATAAATAGGTAGATACTTAAGAAAAGAATTGTGTATATGGTGAACAAACAGGAACAGTTTGGAAATACATTTTCTGACTGGTGTAGTCAATGAAACATATCCAGTCGTACCCAATATAGTGGAATGTAGCTACTCACTTGGCATGATTTCCCAGGTTGCGGTTGCTGGGCACCTGCAGTGTGCGTATGAGACTGTCCATGGCACACTGGCAGTTCCATGGGTTGTCGTACAGGCGCATGTATCGGAGGTTAGGCATGGGGATGATGGTCTCCTCACTCAGCGTGCTCAGACGGTTGTGCTGCAGCAGTAGTGGTGAGGCGGGTCAGCCCCTGGAAGGCCCCCTCCTCTATCAGGGAGATCTCATTCTGCTGCAGGTCCAGACTGGTCAGGCCCTCGTAGCCAGTGAAGACCCCATTTCGGAGGACTTTGATTCGGTTACGGGCTAGAAGGAGGTGTTTAGGCTCTTTGGACCAGGCCTGGGAGGAGGGGATAGTGTTGAGGTGTCTCTCCTGGCAGTCGATGAAGACCTCTCCAGATTCTGTAGACTCAGCACAGTTAGGTGCCACTAGTTTGGATGTATCTGACCTGCCGTGGCGTCCAGCACCCCGTACCCTGACACGCACAAAAAGAAACATTGTAATACCTGATCATGTTTTATCCCCAGATAGGTTGTGTTCATGATTTCATATAGATTAAGAGTGGGGGTCATGGGTACTCAGAGCAGACTGGAATTTCTGTTACCATAAAAATCCCCAAATTGGCACAAAATCAAACATATCTTCAATCTGCATAAATTAACAAAAAATGTATTATTTTCTTTTTAACTACACTGGAAAATTGTGGTATTGGCCAATTAATGAGATGATTTTAGCAAGATCATGGGCCTAAATTCAACAATACATACTTAGGATAGAATAGAACCTTTATTCCTGTGAAAATTTCAGTGTTGCGACAGAAAGTGCAAATAGAGAGCAGACGAATAACAATATGCAGTCAAAAAGCAAGATCAATATACTATTTCAAAATATATTTAAATCCAGCTGTTAAGATAGATTATTAATATATACTATGAATAAATATAAAATACAAATTGGAGCCAATAAAGTATAATAATACATGCAAGTAGAGTAAAGGATACAAAAGTGTATGTAGAATAATGGCTATGACTGTGGTTATGTGCTACACAGCATAATAGCATAGTAATAACGGAGAGTGGAGGTATCAAGTTGCGATTAATGAGCATTATGGGCATTAAAGGTATTGGGGTAAACTTAAAACATGCCCTTACCTTGAGAGCTTGTGTCTGGCCCCTTTCAAACCCCGCCCCTTGTTCTGCTTCTTGGCCTGGGTGGATGGGAGTATCACGAGTAACAGGGCAACCAGGAGGAGTGAGCAGGCCAGCCGCATTTTGAACCCGGGGCAGATGGTCCCAATGAACACTGGAACTTTAAGATGAAAGTCTGAAAAAAAAATAGACAGGAGCCATAAGTCATAGGTGATGCGTTGGAGGAAAAATACAAGACAGATGTTTTTTTGCTGTATGAGTAGTGCAAAGTGAAATGTTATGTAAGAAGTCTGAGCACGTTATGAATCAGGAATGACAGAATAATTTTACTACTGAGAATTGATAACAAGACCATAGAAATTGTCAGCATAATTTCAACCAGACTTTATAGTGCTTAATTACATACTGTCACAGGAAGCCTACCGTTGCCTCATCTCAAGCTATTCAATTAAAGATGCACCATTTAACATTTTCTGATGAAGGGTCCACCATGAACTTGTTTCCATGGAGATGCTATTCCTTTGCCTGGAATGTTCCACAGTAGGACATTAGGCAAATATAGAAGGCCATGGAGATAAGAAGGTGACGCCACCAGGCCATTTTACCAGTCAGATCTGTTTAATGCTTTATTAGCAAAAAATAAATAAAATAAAATCACTGTAATTGAAAAAAATTATCGGTTTTATGGCATACCATGTAACATTCCAGGCAAATCAATAGCCTTTCCATGGAGACAAGCAGGTGGTGTACCCTCCAGCAGAAAAGTAACATAGTGCACCTTTAACTATGCCTTTCGTTCCTTCTTCCTGCACCTAAAGGGTCTAAGCAGTTTAGCTAGTCAATAAACCTTACTCGTTTAGGTTGAAATTTAGTTTTTTTGTTTCTTTTTTTTTTAGGTGAATGCCGAAATCTCCAGGAACTCAACTTGTCAGAATGCTCCAACATTAGTGTAAGTTCTTATGCACAAATGTAAATAGCTGGTAAACTTGGATTCTAACCTTTTCTTTCTTATATTTCTCCAGGATGTTATGGTCCAAAAACTTACCAAAGGCTGCCCCAGTCTGCTCTATTTGAACCTCTCTGCCACTAATATCACGAACCAAGCACTTAGAGCTCTGTCGAGGTAGTCTTACTTCTTACTCACATCATCACAATTTTTTCCATTCATTTTACTGGCCCTATACTAGCTCCCTTCATTCCCACATGTACCAATATGCCTTCTCTTCCCCCTTCCCTGTCATGCCCGAAAGCCTTTTGGCCTGTGCTGAAAATGATGGAGCAAAACAGATGTGGCTCTTACTATAATGCCAGGGCAACACAATTAGTGTGTTGACAGATTTATTAAGATACAATTAGCATATTTACCTTTTGTATCTTTTTGAGCTACAAATTTTGTGTTCAAACACATCTAAAATTGGTCAGTATCAGGTGGTGTATTTACTACCCCTACAGAATTAAACTTTTTTTTTAAAGCAAATTATGAATAGATTTATGTAGTAGTATGTGCAGTGAAAGTACCAAAGTAACTGTTACCATTTTGCACAAGCATAGTATTGTTGTGCCCCTGAGCACTACACCACAACACCCATACTGAATTGTCCAGAGACAGGATGTGGGGCATCTGGTGTAAAAAAAAGTATGTGTTCTGAAATCTACAAAATAAACAAATATATAAATACAAACAAACAAAAACAAACAAACAAACAAACAAAAAACGCATGTTTGACCACATGTTTACTGCTTGTCAAACATTTGCACAAAATAGAAAATAATAATTGAAAAGATTGAAAATTGAAATTTTAAAAGCATTTCTTTTCACAGAAACTGCTTAAACCTCCAATATCTCAGCGTGGCTTACTGCTCCAGATTCACAGATCATGGATTTCTGTACCTCACAACTGGACGAGGATGTCGCAATCTGGTCCACCTCAATGTATCCGGCTGCACTCAGGTCAGTCCACGGGTAGTCCCACAATGCACTTGGATTCGGATAGTCACAGTCCCTCCTCTGTGCTTCCTTCAAGTCTGCCTGGATTCTTCTGAACAGCAAAGTCTATGGGCTGGGTTTATCAAGCTGAGTCCCACCCACTCCTCCATGTGTCCATAACATAACACAGCACACATGCACGCCAACTCAAAAGACGTACACTGCTGGGAATGTGCGTTAGTCCTGTTCCAAATTTATGGCTCCACTTTATGGGGCATTTTCTTTGACGATATGGGGATAGAGCCAGCAGAGTGATTCAAATTCCACTGCACACTCATTCTCCTCTCTTCCTAGATGTCAGTAAATGCATTCAGGTACATTTCTGCTGGATGCCCCACCATCAAAGAAATAGTGATCAATGACATGCCCACACTGTCAGATAGCTGTATCATGGTAAGTTTGGTTTGAAAACTTGAGTATTGTAATTATTACATATGAATATATTCATAGTTGAAACGTAATATGTGATGTGTCATCCTAGGCTCTTTTGTCCAGATGTCACTCTCTCTACCATTTCTCTACTGGATTCACCCAATCTTTCCGACTTAGCGTTCAAAGCCATTGCAGAAGTGGCCAAACTGAGATCATTGTATATAGAGGGTAAGACACATACATACAAAGAGATTGTATCATCTTCAGTGTATTTGCATTAAAAAGAAAAACAGACTACATACCACTACCAAGACACATCTTGATATAGTATCATTACATAAACAATAGATAAACAATTAGAAGCTGAAGACCTCCAGGAGCGTTGAATTGTATATGTTTTAAAGTTCTACTGAGCCACAGAGGATCGTATTATTCATGCATTTCTGATCTGATCTGATGATGAGCAAAAAATGCTTATTAAGGCAATATTCAAGTAGTATGGCTTTTTCAATGCTGATCTACACCGTAGTTGTAATTATCATTTGAAATATATTGGTCATTCAGGTATTGCGTTTGTTGTAGGTAATAACCAGCTCACCGATGTGGGCTGGAAGGCCCTTTGCAGCAGCTCCCTGGGCCTGCGCAGACTCCATGCTGCAGAGTGCACCAGACTGAACAATGGCAGTGTGAAATTTATGGGGACCCTCAGGCACCTGCAGTACCTTGACATCTCCATGTGCAAGTGTGTGTGACTCTTTGGTATTGTTTTTTTTTTTTTGACAGGACTTTTTACCTCACATAAAGTATCTTCTCTCGTCTCTTTTAGTGTGGGCAATGTAGGAATCAAACACCTAACTGATGGTTTATCAGCACCCAAATTACGAGAATTGAATATAAGTTACTGTAATCGCATCACAGATACAGCCGTGCGAAGGATAGCACTACGGTATGTAGACTTCAGTGATGCATAAAATACTGGACATACACAACATTACAAACTTTTACCCATAAAATGCAAAAAAAAAAAAAAAAAAAAAAACTTTGACAGAAATTTATAAACTCTTCAAATGCCTCACATTTGTCATGCATAATTTGCAATCTTGTATTTATTTTTATTTATTTGACAGTTAATATTGCCACCAAATAGGTAACTGATGTCTGTGCATTTAAGGCTTTTAGCCACAAGCTAATTTGCAGCACTTTCCCCGGTTAGGCTTTTCTAAAGGCTTCTTCTAAAAAAGTAGATAAGAATACACACATACAAAGAATTGACCGTATCTGTCCACTCTATATCCCCAGGGCAGTTTAGTGTTCACACTGTTGATTTTCCATAAGACAGTTTTTCCAGTTTTGTGGAGAAACTGAGCTCCAGTTGCAAAGATTTCCACAAATGTTGAAGTTTACACTAAGAACTGACTGACTCAAAGCCTCAAATAAAATATGCCTTTTCAAAACCCTGAAAACCTTTTAAAACTAAACTTTATGCATTTGCTTAAAGCATTGCTTACATGAACTACAAAAAATCCATGTTTCGCTCTATGTTTTATGTTTTACTTATTCTGTGTACATGTCAATGCTCAGACTGAATAGGCTGTACCATCTGAACCTGAGTTACTGTGGAGGGTTGAGCGATAAAGCCCTGGAGTTCCTCAGTGACAGTTCCATCCGCTCACTGGACATCACTGGCTGCAGTGTCCAGGACCAGGTGTGTGCCAGGACTGTTAAAATGGCAATATCTCATGTTATCAACACTGTATGGTGTGCTTTCCAGGGACTTGCTGCTTTGGAGAGGGTTCACTTGAGAAAGATAGTCCTGGCTGAATGCATCTTTGTCACTGACGTTGGGATTGAGGTATTCCATAATTAAAAAACAGCTCAGTTGTTGTTTTATGAACTGAGTTATCTGGGTTAATCCTTTGATGATTGTTTCCCAGAAGTACAATTTCAAATTATTGTTGATAACAAAGAAATATTACCAACATATGACAATAAATGAATTAAATCATGAAGAATCAGATAAAGTATTTTAATATTGTATGTCTCTGATGAAAGAATCTCTGCAAGAATGTAAAATATTTGGAGGACGTAGACATATCACATTGTGCAGCTCTGACTGACCGGGCCATTAGAACACTGTCCTTCTTCTGTAGAGGCCTTACTGCACTCAAGATGGCAGCTTGTGTCAAGGTATGGATTTCATGCATTTAAATGTAAAGAAAGAAAAAAAATGTGTCATGAAGGTGCAATACAGTAAATGACTATTGTAACAGTATTTCAACAAGTGAGATGCAATAAATAGTTAATTAAATTCAAGAAAAATTACATTTTACCAATGTAAATTACTTATATGTTAGTAAAAGGTAGGAGCTGATGTGGCTGGGGAGGTTGCTTATTTCACTGCCATGGTGGAGGTTAAAGGATAATATGTTTTAAGAGATGATTGATTTCAGAAGACAGGGACACACAGTAGACAAGCGGCAGGAACAATGGACAGAAATAGCCTTCCTTGTATTACATTATATATATCATTTGTGTGTATTTGTGCTTTAGATGACAGATATGGGCATCCACTACTTGACGACAGGAGCTCCGTACCTGAGGCAGCTGGATGTGAGTGGCTGTGTTAATTTGACCGATCGCACTGTGCGCCACTTAGAGAGAATATGTCCTCCTCTGTGTTCTGTTTCCATGGCCTGCTGTAGGGGCATCTCCAAGTAAGATCAACACAAGAGTCTAGGTGAAGTGCTAAACTAAAGTGAATATTGTAAATAACTATACTTCTTGTGTTACAGGTTGGCAACGTTAAAGCTAGAGTCATATATGGATCATTGGGAGCATAACAATGATGAACCATGTGACTGGTTGATTGTCAAAGTTGCGACATCCATGGCTAGTCCAATAAAGACTGAGGGGACAGGGGAAGAGGAGTGCTCGCTACGGAGAAGAGCAAGTACGTGAGATTATCTGTAATCTTTGGGGATACTATATACTTCAAAAATTTGACTTCAACAGAACCTCTGGCATTGTGTATAAAGAAGTTACATTTTATATTCAATAACCATTCAGAATACATTGTCACAGGTATTGTAATACAGCTGAAAGACATGTACTGTAGCTAATACAATTTTAGTTTTTGCTTAATTTTCTTTAACATATATGTATAAAAACTGCAATAAATTAATTATTATTGAATTTTATAAGTCAGAATGTTGATTTCTTTCAAACTGGTTTGTTATTTTTGATTTTATTATGAGACTAAATGTGTGTCTTCAGTTGAAACAGCAAATTTACCAGTCATGACAAAAGCAATGCCAAACACATGATGAATCAAAGTTTAGTTCTAATTGATCCAAGCTGTGGGCCCATTTACTGCTTACCATAACTGTGGTTTGGCTATGTGCCTGGTGTTTTCTGCTTCATGAGAAACACCCTCTGGGCTGATGGCCACAGATGCTCCACACTGTTCCTATTGCACCCCAGAGACCAAAACATATTTAGATTAGACCTTCTTATAGAGATAAGAACTATTTTGTGGTAAGGCCTGCTTAGACTAAAAATATCTTATCTCCTACTTTAGATATCCACTTTTTACACTATGGAGACCTTAAGGCTGACATTAACTCTAATGAACTAATCAAATCCAAGTACAGAGATGTGTAAAAAATATATGCATTTCAATCAGCAACTAAATCCAGTTTTAGCTGGAATGTTTACATATAGTCAGTTGTCTCACCTTTTGTTGCTTTGCAATTAAATATCTTAAAAGATTTAAATGAAAACATTTCAGTGGAGAACAAATTATATACATACAAGATACTATCTTTTATTTATTTAGCTTTTAAAATGATTGAGATTTACTGTGTAACATCTCATTGATTGTGGAACATTCCATGCAAAGTAATAACATCTCCTTGGAGACAAGCAAGTGGCAAACCGACACCACAAAGGATTCATAGTGCACATTGCAATTCCATTTGATATAAAATTCAAATGGTAAAATCTTACTTTACTTACTTGGCAAGAAAAAGAGCATAATTCATTGTGTCAAGAACAGCAAGTACAAAGTTACATATCCATAAACAACTGTGTACCTGTTAAGGAGCATCACGTTTTATTCTAATAATCATTTCCACGTGGGTTCATTAGAGCTGTGAGAATGACTCATTTCTTCTCACTACACTTTGAAAGCATGTTGTTCTGTTTCAGTATCTGCCTCCTGGGCTTTTACTGGCATTTTACTGCAAGAGTATATATGTGGATCTAAAACCAATATTACCAGAATCAAATGAGAGCCTGTATTTTATTCGTTGGCTCATTTTGGACGGAGATGGTGTGAACTGTCCTGTGGAATCTTGCTAGTGCCAATTTAATAATGTAAAGTTTCCCAGAAGTAAACCACAAATCTATAATTAAGAGATACAAATTTTGACATATATTATTAGTGCATTAAGACAGCAAGTACTAGATACGGTTTTAGAGGCTTTTATGTAAATTAAACATCAAATACCAATATCTTAGCTTGGGTATTATTTGCCATTCATTACCTTCGAACCACATAAATATCAAAATATCATTGTCAAAATCATGGTGCATGCGTGATTTTTGTCCAGGCTGTTGCTGCCCCCTAATGACTGAAAACAAAATTAAACCATAGATAAAGTTTATTAGTAGCAGACAGAATATCAACATTTGACCGTTATCTTGCATACAAAAAATAAATAACACTTTAACATTGACAGCCATAAATATTAAGTGATTATTTTTGCCCTCACCATTGTGTTTGTTATTGTCACAGCTAATGGAAATATTTTAGTGTGATAATCAGTGTAAGTTATTGCCATCTGTTCTTTACAGGTCCTATATTACTCAAAATTTACTCTTTTGAGCTTTAAGCCTTGTTTTAGAACATCACCTCACCAAAAATATAAACAAAACTGTGTTTTGCTTCAGTCATATGTGTTTGAGTAACCTTTTCATTATTTTTTATTTTATAGTCTGTCTGCATTATTATCTAAATGATTCTAGTGAAGGGGTGTAGAGTTTAAAAACACAGTGGAGCATTTCCTGTATTGTCACATGAGTTTTCAGAGAAGAACATAGCCTAAATATGCAGGATTTGTGTGTTAATTATGTGTGAACCGAAACATAGGTATGTTTTTGATAAGGATGCTACATTATAACATAGATCAGAAAATAGTGTAATATAGGCCCTTTGAACAATAACATAAGTTTAGTGTATCAAGATTTTGATACATATTAGGAAAAATCTCACCTTTTTCATATTTTCATACAGTCATTTTGTTTGATCAACTTCTCAATTTAAGTGACTCAAACCAGCTTTGTGTCTTCAGTGTGACAGAGCCTGTTTTAGTCTGAGCACTGAGGTGGGATTGTTCTGTTTGAGACTCCCCATTTACAAAACCTGGGAAGAGACACAAATCAAAATGATAATTCAAAATAAAAATATACAAAATACATAGAATATACAAAATAAATCAAGTTCAGTTGGTAAAAAGCAGTAAAGGTTATATATGCATGTGACAAGCAAGAAAGAAAAAGTTCACACAGAGGTTTACACAGTTACATGATTTATTAATGCCATTGCACTTTTTGTATATTTTGCGATCTATCCAATGTATGAAAATTTTAGCTTTTAAGAAGTTAGGAAGTTTTAGTTTGTTTTATAAAAGCCGGTGTTTTGGGTGGGGAGTGCTCTTATTTTCCTAGCCCTCACTCACATCATTCTTACCCATAACTGTGGTCTGGCCTGGAGCCTGATGCTTTCCTGTTTCGTGAAACATCACCTCTGGGCTGATGTCCACAGATGCTCCACACAGTTCCACCCCTGCTCTTAAACTGGAGGGGACCCGCACACACACAGCTCCTATGGCATGCAACAATGATATATTAGAATTTAATGATGCACAAAGTTCAGAGGGAGGGCAGAGAGGGTAATACAATTCTAAGGGCGAGGCACTGATAGTGTAGGAAAGGCCATAAAATTGTTATACTAATCTTTTATAGTGACAGGCAAGTTGACAGGATGGGTAATTATCTCATATTAACCATGACTATAACATACACATTTATGGTGCAGTCACACTTGTCCTGGTTTGGTCCTGTATTAGTCATGGTTTGACCTTTATTATAGTCTATTTTGGTCCAGTTCTTGCACCGTTTAGTCCCAGTTTTGATGTGGTATGTGGTAAGTGTTAAAGCAGGGCCTACCTTGTTCACTAAAGACATGTGCAGAGCCACCATCTCCTACATAGAGGTCTATGTCTCCACTGTGAGAGGACACCTGCATGAAGCTATTTGAACCATCTGTACAAAAGAGGCATTTCCTTTAACCTTGTGTATTATTCACATACTGTGAGGATATAGATCACACTTACCTATGATAGTATCCCCAGACTCATTTTTCACTGTGGCATTTCCTGTTTACAGTCAAATAAATAATTGTTTATAATTTTAAAAAAGTGTTTTTAAACATGGTGGCATCTGAACTTCTATTATTTATGACAGTGATTTAATATAGCATCACTCTCAACATTTGCTTTGAAATATATGACTTTATCTTATGATGCCAGTACAGTATTTGTTGCTACATACTTTTCTACTATTCATCATCAACATCAACTCACCATGCACATGTCCAAGTTCTATTTTCCCTGTATGGGATGAGATGCTGCTGGACTCCGCATAGATGGCCTTCACCTTCAGAGAGCCATGTTCAGTGGACACATTCATAGTAGTACCCTGGAGTTTTTTCACATCCACCTCCTGTAAATCCAAACACAACAGTAAGGAACATGTTATGTATAAAAACAAAAGATAGATAAAACCCTCTGATTAATGCAGGTAGAGAAATTGTGTTGCTTTGGAGTGGTGGTATTAAAAGTGTAGACTTATGCTGCCATCTACTGACAAAAGATGAAAACATAACCATGACTTTACACTTTCTCCACTGGAGATGATGTTCACGTTTCCATGGATAGTACCAAGACCAGTGACGCATCCTCCAGAAGACCTCACTTCAACATGGTGGCCCTATAGATACAACAGTAATGTGCATAAACAGAACTAGTACCAAACTGATATAGTGGTTACATGGCTGATGCAAATACCATTTAGATCAGTGATCTAATGGATCATAAAGTGGGGTCTCCCCAAAATTTCAGTAAAATGGAACATTACTTGAATACTACAATGTCTTATGATCGACCAAATATATGTTTTGAAACCAGGACACTGATTAAGTAAATACTATGAGAATTTTTTTTTCATCCAAACTTCGTTATAAACATGATTTGAGCATCTGAATTTTATTGTAATGCCATTGTGGGTGCCGATAAGAGGTCCTTGGCCTCAAAATCCCTGGATTATATTACCGTTTAAAATATATACTTTTGGGTCAGTGTGTAAGGCAGATTCTGATTATTTCCCTCAAATTGCTATTTTAATCGACTAAAAACTCATTCACAGCCTGCATTCACAGGAACTGTTAAAATAAAGCTTTGTTTGTATTCTTTAGGCAGCAGGTCGATCATCTCTAGTGGTTATTACTAGTTAGGAAAAGAGAACAATATTGCATTCTTACTTTGACCGAGTGGAGGGTGCAGTTTCCCTCTTGTGTGGCCACTTTGCAGAAATCACACTCCATTTTACTGATGCGCACATGACCTCTTCCCTGAGTGGTGATGAAAAGATCTACAAAAATACACATAATTTAATTATCACATATTCAGTGCACACAGATAGTTTTTAATCATAAGAAAATCATAATCATAAGAAAATAAAATAAAACTTTTTAAATCAATCATGCGTAGCATTAAACTACAGAAAGATTCAAGTTCTCATTCACTCTGGTAAAGTAAATAGATTAGGAAAAGTGTCTTGCCCAAGGACACATCAACAGTACAACCCTCCTGCCACAACTCCAACTACGCCAAAGTTGTAGCCTATTCAACTATTATTGAATTATTATTACATTGTAAAGTATTCTAATGACTTCTGTTTACTTCCGTTGCTATTACATCTAGCACTCAGCTGTAAAAAGTAGACCCAGCCACTTGGTAAACCAAACACATGTACAATTTTACCACTTATTAACTAACAAGTGACTCACTGCTTTTGATTGGTGCTTCCAGATCTATCGATAACTCGCCATTTCCTTCTCCTCTTGTGATCTTCAGTTCTCTTCTCTCCTCATCATAGTGGACATGGCAGTGGTCCAGAGCGGTCTTTGGTCCTTTGCTGACCCCGTGAACGGTGATGAAAGCCCGGTCAGCTTCAGGGAAGGCGTGGGGGTCTAAGGGTGTGACGGAGATGCTGCAGGAGGCCAGCTGCGCCCGTACAGATGTGAAGGGACTGACCGACAGAGCCCACTGCTTCAGCGGTTGTTTCTGGGACCCCTGCCCGCGTGAGGTGTGCTGAGGACAGGCGGAGATGACCCTCGGGACGACTGGACGCAAACAGCGGGCAAGCCCCATACACAAGGAGACTCGATGAGCTACAGCCCCGAGCATCGCTGACACGTGCTGCTACGTCTCATTCACGCAATGCTCTTTTAATGATGAGTGGTGTAAATAAACACACTTTTCTACAACATGTTTTCTGTGGCTATCATCTTAAACATGCGGCAACTCTTCTGTCAAGCTTTGTTTTGCTTCACCACACTTCCGGTTGCAACCTTCAATTTCAACACAAAAAACAATAAGTGCACCTTTTTAATGGTGCGTTAAAGAAAGATTCTGCACTTTTGCCATTGTTATCTACCTTAGATGGTACCAACTGTCAAAAACATACCCTTTTGGTGCCAAGTGAAGCAAAATATATTTGTATTTCCTTTTCTCGTTGCCGCACAATTGACAACCCGGAAAAGGATAGTTGTGTAAAGTTGGCACCGCCTACTTCTTTTGTTTTGCCCAATCGTGTGATTTGTCTGCATATAAGGAATTGTGGGAAACTGAGTTTTCTTACACTATTTAATTCAATCAAAGATAACTCTTGACCACTAGTGAAAACAGACACATTTCTAAAATACATCAGTTTATTTTGCGTAGTCTATATAAAATATCTTTGTTAAAAATGGATCTAGAACAGCCACACCACCACCAGGCCACCATGTCCTAGGCAAATTAATATACTGTATGTATTGCAAGGCCTTTTCTTCACTTAGGGCTTAAGTCATTTACTCGGCCTATTATACAGGAGGAGCCCCACTTTTAAGTTTGGATAAGTGCAAGAGGTTTTAACATTTGCTACCTTCATTTTTCTTTACTGCACTATAAAAGTGCTTTCACAATCACACTCACAAAATGTGCATTAATAAAAATTATACGAAAAAGATACAGAAATTAAACATTTTTTACATCCTTATAAACACCTATAAGCACACCAGCCACAAGGCGGCAGCATTGTCTGTACATCTAGATTAAAACGACATTATTTGCACTCATCTTTTAAAAAGTGCAATAGTAAAACCAAAGTACTTTTTTCAGAGCTTTCTGACTGTAGTTTTTGAATAAAATATTCAGTCTCTACCTGAGCTTATGGCTTAAAACCCTTTGGTCTGATCATCATTCTGACAGTTTTAAATGACAGTCTCTCGTTTGTGGGATAGTACTCTGTGGAGATGTTGTGCCATGTGCCCCAGTAGATTCCATCGCGCACTCCCTTGTACCTGCCCTTGTAGTACCTCCCGTTCAGGTTGGCTGCCATACAGGCATCGAACCACCAACCGGAGCTGTAGTAGGTTCCGCAGTTCCCGGACGGGTAGCGGTCATTGTCTCGGTCCGGGGTGGTGAACGCCCTGCTATTGTGATTATACTTCGTGTTGAAACGAAGGGCATCACCTGCAGTGCCCGAGTACCCGTCCACGGTCAGCCTGTAGCGCATGCGCTCACTCGCCACTTTAAACAGTTGATATAGCGCGTACTCCCGGACCCCCTCAAAGTCCTCCAGCTCCACCCGCAGCTCCATACTCCTGTCCCGGGTAAGCAGGTGGATCAGGTTGTTTCCAAGCCAGAACTCCCCTCCGTTCAGCAACCCGAAGCCGTCACGGTACTCGGCCCAGGAGCGGTTGAAGCTGACGCTGCCGTCGTGTCTCCTCTGGAGTACGGTCCATCCTCCGCCGCTCTCCTCCATGTCACATAGCACGTGCACGCTGCCGCCGCTGGGGTCAGGGGTCACCAGGTACAGTCCACTTTTGGTGTGTCCCCTGAGCACGTGGTCTGAACAGTCTCTGGCAACCATCATATCTGTGAAGAGTTAGGATATAAATAGTTACGGGATAGTAAGTATTAAGTACATTGGGTATAGTTTACTGTAGTCTGATTTCTCATTCTCTCCTAGTTCGCTTCAGTCACAATCGGGAATAAATGATAAGGTTATTACAGTCACAGCTTCCCTGGGGCTAATTAAGAGACATGCTGCTATTCTGTGCCAATGGCCTCACCTGCCATCACTAATCATGCAACATTCACAGAGGAAAGTAACAGCAACAGCAACCTTTACAACGTTTACCATATGGATAGTTAGTTACTTTTTCACCAAAAACTTGCCCATTTCACAGTAATAGTTGGATAATTTGTAAGCAAAGTGTGAGGAAAAACATGATTCATTTTTTATTTACATAAAGAAGTAAACTAACCACTAATGTATATATGTAATGTATTGTAATTGTGTTTTAACCCACCATCATGGAGTGTATATGGCCTATCAAAGCAGTGTGCAGCACCATGAAATGTGACAGTACTGCCAGGTGTAGACAAGTGAAGAAAAGGTCAGTGACCTTCCACTAATAAAAGATTTATAGTGTTTTCAAGACTTAAGGAGGCTGGCCTTAAACCCTTCAAACATTTTTTATATTTTATATCTGCCTGGCAAATCAGTTGCTCAATGATGAATGTTTTATTAATTGTTTATTCTTCCGGAAGAAGATATCATAAATCACATGCATAGCTGTGGTTTTAAGCCAAACTGCAATTAAGAGACACATTTTGCACACATGTAGACTCCCCGTTTGATATGTAGACAATGGGATATAATCTGTGGTATGTGGCTGATACCATCATTAACTTTGAAACATATGAGGTTGATCTGCTCCTCTGGTGTGGTCTTCTTGGTATAAGGCTGTATTACTTCTGCATCTGGAAAAGCACTTTGCTTTACGTCAAACAATGATCAGCTATCGACACACTTGAGGCAACATTTTTCTTTTGCGACATCATTTCAACATTAGAAATCTGTATTTTATTTTTTGTTAACCTTGTTATATAATTGTTGAAAACAAAGTGTCATTATGTAATATCTGATTTGTTGGAGGGTGGGTAAAAGCTGTTGCCACACTAGTATGTGAACAATATGTTATAAACAAAAGTTTCATATGTTCATGTGGTATTGGTAGAAAATGTAAATAAAAATGTCAACAAAATTTGTTTAAATTTAAAGCTGAACTTAAATATTACATATACATTTGCTACATGTTGACATTTAGCTCCAGTTTTTGCTGTTGCAGCCTGGCTGATCTACTTTTGGACCAAGATAATAATTAATTAAGTATTTACAGCAGGACAAGCACTTAAGGGACACAGACTGACAAATAACATTAACATTCACATACATGCAAAATATTAGTATATGTATCTTTTGTGTTAATGGCATTGATGCAATGATGTTGATAATACTTGATATTTGATGATGAATCTAAATTTAAAATATCATGATTATTATTATTTTTTTTAACATTACATTGTCACTAAGTGCAAGAGTTTTTAACAGTGGTTATAACAAAGTATTTATACTTGTTCTTGTATGCTTGTATACTTGTACTTTGTATGTTGTATGTTAGACCTATATTGTATGAACTCTTACCTGGTTTTTCATCTGTTTTTTCACCCACTTCTGTGTGATCTCCAGGGCCTTCATCCAGGGGCCTGCTGTGTGGTTGTTGCTGGCTACTTTTATTGAGGAACGCTGCCACCTGGTTAATTTTCACTCTCAGCTCTCGTGCACTGGGAGTGGTGTTCTCCACAGCTGTTGCTTTAGGACCAGGGTGGGGGGCTGGAGGGGCTGTTGACCTGAAAACAGCGCGCACAGTGGGGCTAAGTTGTTGAACCCTGGGGGGAAAACTTGGAGAGTTTTCCCCTACATTGAAGTCACTTTTTGTTGGTAGAGTGGTGGATACTTGGGTGGCTATGTTTGGTTCTGTTGTCAAGGCGATGGATGGGATTGGCTCAGTTGTTTGTGAACTAGATATAACCCCTCTGTTTGGATTCATAGTTAAACTTTCCAAGGTTGTAGTATTTTGATGTAAGGGGTCTACTGCTAGGTCACGAGCAGTCTCCCAATTCAAAGTTGTTAATTTTATAGGACCAGATGTTGGCTTTACATCCATTTTAGCATTTTTTTCTTTCTCTTTTAATTGTGGTTTTATCTTTGAAGCAGGTATAACTTTTGGCTTGACCGGCTTGTTTGGTGGTTTAAGTCCAGGCGACACTTTTGAGCTGTTTTTCAAATCAACAAATGTATTTATTTTTGGAATTTTGTCCTTTAGTGCTTGTTCTACTTTCACTTTCCGACTTGATTCCAGTTTGGGATTTGCAGATTTAACTATGGGCACTTGGGGTTTAGGTTTTTGGTTAATTTGGGGAATTTTAAGATTTAATGCTGGGCTCGTTTTGCTGCCTTCCTTTGTACCGTTCACCTCTGATGATTTATTTTGGGCTAGCATGACTTTACTTGTATTGTTTTTCATATTTCCAGTCTTTTTGATAAATTGCTTCATCCTGCTGACCTTATCTATTTCAGAATGCATAGTTTGTCTGCTGTCATGCAATGAGGTCACATTAGGTCTTTTCCTGTCATCTGTTAGCACACCTGCCATGCTAGGGGCCAGTGTAGGAGTGCTTGCCTTTTGTATTGGAGTAGCAGAAGGTAACGGATTATTCTTGACGTTTACCTGTAATAGAGTGCTTTGATCAGATTTAGAGGGAGTCTGAGCTGGCCATGGGGCTCTGCCGGGTGTCACCTTTGAATGCATTCGCCTCTGGTCATTCTTAACTTGGGTGTCAGGTGAAGGTGTGTGGTCAGGTTTACGGTCATTCTTAGGATTTTTGAGTTTTAGGTTGGCTTCTGGCTTCATTCCAATACTGGGTTTTGGTCTTTGATTTGGTACAATTTTTGAACTGCTTATCTTTCTGTTATCTTTTCTGTTGTCTTTCTGTAGAGGTGCTGTAGTGGTTGGCGATATATGATGAGGAGTGAATGTTGTGGATGTAAGATCTTTAAAACTAGCATCACGTCTCAGAGTAGAATTGCTTATATCGTCAACCAAAACACTTGCTGGCTGACTTGTAGGTGTATCCATGTGTGCATCTTGAATTGAGTTAATGTCCTTTTCATTATAATTAGTTGATAGCTGTCCATAATTAGTTTTTTGTTTTGTTTCCTGCTGTCCTTGGTTAGAATTTTGATCAAAATGTGGCTTGAATGCTGTAGGAGTAGAAATAGTTGTATCCTCTGCTAACTTGTTGGCTATTGGTTGAACTATATTGACTTTAGCTGACACATCAAAACCTGAAGGTTCTTTTTCCAAGTCCGTACTGATACTACTTGCAGAAGATATATCTTCATTGCTTTCTTTGCGTCCTTTTTCAATTGAAGTGGTCATTTCTGAGTTGGAAGCTATGGAATCATTCACTGTTATTGGTTTACTTGTAGCTTTAACTAATGGTGCGCCTAAGCTTGAATGCTTATTTTCACTGTCACGCTCATTGTAATTACTTTGAGATAGTTGTCCATTAAAAATACTATGCTCAAATTTTGACGTTGTAGGAGTAGAAATGGATACATATTGTTCATTTTTTGCTTTCATTTTATCCAACTGTACATCATGATTTAAATGTGTATTGTCAACTTGATTACTTTGAATTCTATCCTTATAATCTGGTAGTTGTTGTTGGGGTTTAATGTCTCTGCCTAAATGTGAGTTTGATGATGTAGGAGTGGAACTGGTTGAAGCTTCAGTAATAGCTACCATTGTAAGTTGAATTTTAGTTTTTGATAATTGTGTATTAACACTTGAGGACACTGGATTGCTTGCTTTTTCATTTGGATTGTTTTTGGGTGGAGTATAAGTTTCTTTTTTATCTCCATGTTTAATAGCTTTGGTAAAATCTGACTTTGATAACTTTGGAGTAGTGGTCGTTGTAATTTCATCAAAACTTGGCTGATAAAATGGACGATTAGAACTTGAGTGCTCAGTCTTATTATCCATTTTGTTGTAATTACCTTGAGTTGGCGGTTCATTGCCTTCTTCCATATTTTCATACTTAGCATTAGTTTTTGTTAATTCTGAAATTGAGTCTTCACTTAAAATTTTAGTCAATTGTTCATCAAGACTTGCATCCATGGTGTCGGTATCCCCTTTATCTTGGTTATTTTCAGATGATTCAAAAGTAGTTTTAGTTGTTCCTGGTTTGACATTTGTAATGAAATGTGCATTTCCAGCTGTTGGAGAAGTAGCTGTAGATAGCACTGTTTTGGAAATTTTTATATCGTGATGATGTGAGTTTACAATTTTAATGTCTTTTCCACTAATTGTATGTGTTGATGATTTGGCATCCAGATTTAAATCCTGTGTAGTAATGTCTTTTTCTGGAGTATTGGAGTTAGAGCTATCAACTGATGTACTTATTGGTAATTCTGATTTTGAGTCTTCGCTTAAAAGTTTATTCAATTCTTTATCCAGATTTGTATCCATGGTGCCGCTATAATTTTTACCTTGGTTATTTCGAGATGGTTGTCCAGAAGCACTTTTAGGTCTCCCAGATTTGACATCAGTAATAAAATATCCATTTCCAGCTGCTGGAGAAGTAGCTGTATTTGAACCACCTTTAGTAGGTACTGTTTTTGAAATGTTAGTTTTGTGATGATTTGAGCTCACAATTTTACTGTCTTTTCCGCTCATTGTATTTGTTGACGATAAAACATCCAGATTTGAAACCTCTGTCTTAATATCTTTTTCTGGAGTAGTTTGTGCTGGTGGTCTGGAGGTTATTTTTTGTTCACTTTGGTTAGCATCACTGCCTAAATGTGAGTCTGATGATGTAGGAGTGGAACTGGCTGAACTAGTTGTATCTGATGTATTTATTGTTAATTCTGATTTAGAGTCTTCACTTGAAATTTTATTAAATTCTTTATCAAGGCTTGTATCCATGGTGCCTCTATCATTTTCACCTTGGTTATTTTGAGATGGTTGTCCAAAAGCAGTTTTGGGTCTTCCTGTTTTGACATCAGTAATAAAATGTCCATTTTTAGCTGTTGGTGAAGTAATTGTATCAGAACTGTCTTCAGTAAGTACTGTTTTTAAAATTTTAGTTTCGCGATGATTCGAGTTTAAAATCTTACTGTCTTTTCCACTGACTGTATGTGTTGATGATTTAAAGTCCAGATTTGAATTCTCTGTTTTGATATCCTTTTCTGGAGTAGTCTGTGATGGCAGCCGTGAGGTTATTTTTCGCTCTCCTTGGATAACACGTCTGCCTAAATGTGAGTTTGATGACGTAGGAGTGGAACTGGTTGAAGCTGCAGTGATGGCTAACTCTGTAAACAGATTTTTAGTCTTTGATAAGTGTTTGTCATTACTTAAGGACATAGGATTACTTGCTCTTTCATTTGGATTCTTTTGTGGTGGATTATTATAATTAGCTTTTTTATCTCCATTTTTAATTTCTTTGGTCAAATGTGATGTTGATAATTTTGGAGTAGAGGTGATTGTAATTTCATCAAAACTATGAGATGGTGGTTCATTGCCTTCAGTATCTTCTGGTTTAAAATAGGTAAAATGTGAATTGGAGTTAGACCTAGTTGTATCTGATGTATTTATTGTTAAATATGTTTTTGAGTGTTTACCTAAAATTTTATTCAATGGTTTATCAAGACTTGAATCCATAGTGCTGCTATTGTTTTTACCTTGGTTATTTCGAGATGGTTGTCCAGAAGCAGTTTTGGGTCTTCCTGTTTTGACATCAGTAAGAAAATGTCCATTCCCAGCAGTTGGAGAAGTAGTTGTATCTGAATCAACTTTAGTAGGAACTGTTCTTAAAATTTTAGTTTCACGGTGATTTGGGTTCACAATTTTACTGTCTTTTCCGCTGATTGTATGTGATGATGATTCGTCCAGATTTGAATCTTTTGTATTAATATATTTTTCTTTAGTAGTTTGCAATGGCAGTCTTGAGGTTATTTTTCGCTCTCCTTGGATAACATCCCTGCTCAAATGTGAGTCAGAGGTGGTAGACCTTGTTGTATTCAATTTATTAGCTATTTTTGAGGGCTGCTTTACACGTTTAGTAAATTGTTTATTATGATTTGTTTGCTCAACATTTGTACTCGCATTTTTTGAACGCACTTTTGAATTTTGGGTTACAGTTTTAAGATCTGTGCTGAAATCAGAATTTGATCTTGTGTCTAATGGCATTGCTGTAGCTATTTTAATAGGCCTGTACCTCTCGTCTATACCCACTTTCCTTTCATCATAGCCAGACTGAATTTCCAAAACAGGCCACTCTAATTGACCATCTTCCACATTTGCTACTCCTCCATTCTCAAAACTTTCCCCATCACCACCGACTGCCAACTCTCCATCAATTTTGAACTGCTCATTACTGCTACCCCTTCCATTATTTTGTCCTTGCTTAACATCTGTGGTCACATGTGAGGCTGTAAAAGTAGGCGGTGATGTCAAGGTGACTGACCAGTCCAAGTCAATAAACTCATGACTTGGAGAGGAGTTAACGACACCCGAACGCAAGTCTGTCCCTTCCATCAGCTCTCTGTTTTCAAAATCTCTCAGCTTCTCTTCATTCCCTTTTAAACTCCTATCTGCCTCCCCATTAGCCCTGTGATCTTGCCCCATATCACCACCACCACTTCTCCCTGACATCTTTATTCTCTCTGCACTGCTAGTTTCCATTGTTTCATCCAGCCACACGTGATGGCCACTCTGCATACTACTTTTAGGTGCATTTTTCCCCTCCTTGCTAGCATCACTGGTTTTCCCTCCTCTCTCCTCTATTCTCTCCATCTGATTTGTATCAACACGGGTTTTATCGCGCCAGACAGGACGGTCCCGGTCTATTGACTGCTCTGCACTTTTATCCATACTACTAAAGTTTTTTTCTGCCCCTTCCTCATGACTTGCCTTGTGATGTTTATCTGACCATATGTGTCTGTCAGTGTTATCTGGACTGCTGGGTTTAATGTTTTCTTTATTCTTCATAATATCTTCTTCATCTTTTGTTTGATAGTTTGTTTTTTTACTATAATTTTTCTCATCTAGTATTGCTTTGTCATGCAACTCCTGTCTGCCTGATTCTTCATTTCCTTTGCGTAGCTTCACTCCTCCATCCTCTGTCTCATCTGCAGCTTCTGTTTGCCTTTTACTGTCCATCATTTGATCACCCCATACCTGGCTTTTTCCAGTTGTCTGATTTCGCATGTGAGTAGTAGCATTGCCGAGTGGACTGTTTTGCTTATCTAAAGCCCGGTCTATCTGTTTCCTATCAACTTTTCTTCTTTCAGAAATCCTCACGTTTTTCCCTGCAGCCACCACCTGTTCCGTTTTGTCCTTTGGAGATTTTCCATCCTTCCTTCTGTCTTCATTCACTACTCTTTTATTGTTTTCCCATATCTGTCTGTTGATATCAAAATCTCCATCATCTGCATCTTGTTTTGGTTCCTGCGTGCACTCCTTTTCGGCTTGACTTGCACTACAATCTTTGCACATCTTCCTTAATTCATCCACATTGTTTTTTAGCATCTGCAACTCCTCCACCAGCCTCTCCAAGTCCATCAGCTGCTTGGGCAAGTTGACAGTCATGGGTGGCAAATTGACCACAAACGGACACCCATCTCCCTCGCGTTCACAGGGGCCCTCAGGTGCCAGGGTAGCGGAGCAGGGTGGAAAAAGTCCCACTTGGAGGTCACTGTCCCGAGAGGCAGTAGCCAATACCAGGGTCCCGAAAATGCACAAGGCTGTTGCTGCTGGTAATCCCATTGCGTCTGGCTCACAGTGAAGAAGTGGGGAAAGGGGAGAGTGTGTAAAAACAGACCCACCTCAGTTTAGGAGTGAGAGAGGGAGGGAGGTGGACAGGGAGGGCCAGTGGTGCTGATGACATGCACCAGTAGACTACTAGTTGTAGACTGCATGGGTGTGTGTCTCCTCATGGTGTTTTGGATTTTTCAAGCTAGGTTTCAGATAACATCACAACATTCTAAAGGCATGAAGTCTTTAACTGAATTGAGGCTAGGTGAAAGGGTTATTGTCACTATGCAGTCTCTGGAGTGTGGTTGGATAAATCTAGCAGGGGAAATGATAAATAAAAATAGTAGGTTTAAAGTTGCATTGCGTAACTTTTTTGGTGGGGGTCTCCATAGATTTTTGTTATGACATTAAACATATTTCTGGCAAATACGTAATACAGCTGTTTTATTGTGAGTGGGAGCACCTCTATCGATCTGATCTTTAACTTAGTCTGGTTGAGTATTTCTATGAGGGAACATTCAAGGCAGAATGTTGGAGATGTTATTACATCTCCATGGGCACATGCAGGTGACAACACCAAAAGGTTATGCAATGCTGCTTTAATTATTAATTATGTTATAAAGTGGTCATTTTGAGATTTTAGAATGTGATAAAGAAGTGACTTCTCTCTTTCAGTTGATAAGCAAATACTTAATCCACTGTGCCACTTCTGCCCCAAATAATAATAAAACAATTATAGTTTTATTACTACTCAAAGTTAGGGCCTGTATTGTGCTATTTTCTGATCTTTGTTACAGTGATGTTTCCTCATTAAAAACATACCCAGAGTTGTGTTTTGTTTCATTCAGACATGTTTAACACACAAATCCAACAAATTAGCAAACATGTGTGATTGAAACAAAACAACTCCAGGTATGTTTTTGATTAGGTAATAACTTTCTAACACAGCTAAAGGCTTATAAGAGTCAATTTTGCATAATAATGCACCTTTAAAGCAAAGTTGCCAAGCATGAATGATTTTTGGATAAAGGCAGAAAAAAATAAAAGGTAGTCATCTGGACAATGTGTTTTAAATACAGACATTTCAACTGCCATCTGAATGTCATTTTCAATCCTTTTTCAACTATGGACCACTCCTGGGCGGATGGCATTTCAAGTCAAAACAGGGTTCTTTCCATAAGTAACTCCCTGTTTTGGAAAGATAATGTACCCACCTATTTCCACTCATTAAACACCCGTACAGTATTTTCAACACAGTCCTTTTAACATTCTGTTCTTATGTCCACACATCCTCCCAAACCTTAACC